ACTTGCATCGTCAATGATGCATCGGCAAGAGACTGAAACATTAAATGAGTTTGGATATTACTACCCTAGCTGATATTTTTAAAAAGTTATTTATGGGGAAAATAATGACTGTGCTCAAACAGATTTCCAAACTCTCTGTCTTCCATTGGTCAAAGAAACAGATAGCCGTGCCCTAATCTCACGCCACTGGTTAAGCCAATGTTGCTATTTCAAGCTTGTTTGGGATATTCAAACACACAGAGCAATATTTTGATACAGCCATAGTGTTTATACTCACTTTTTTTAAAGGGAATTTAATCTAAAAATCTTTTATGTTACACCTTTTATAAAACAAAAAGTTATGTAAATAAATGTAGATAAAATTGATATAAATCACAGTATTAACAGTTACACTTTCTTTGGGGTCCTCTGGTGGGTGTTGAGCTGGAAGCATACACAGAAACCTGCAAGCTTTGGTTGCTAATACATCATTGCTAATTGCCTAAACAAATCAGTGCCAAACATATTGAATGCAATCAGACCTCTTGTCTGATCCTTATCTGAATTTCCCTTCATGAGCAAAAGCTCAACAGTGTGTGTGTAGAGTCGTGTAGGTGCGCATGTTCATTCTTCCTAATTTCTTTTGGAGGTTTAGAGGATCATGATCAAGTGAGATGAGGACGAACAGAAGGACTGAATACTGGAGATCACAGGCCCAGTGTAGAAGAAGGATTATGGCTCAAAGAGCAGTTTACACTCCTCTGCTCTCGACTCAATTTCTCAAGGCGCTGCTTTCTAACGATTGGACTTACACTCAAGGCCACGCGTTGGCAGTCACACTATCCAAACAAACACACACAGACACGCGCACGCACACGCCACTTTTATTAATAGCCGAAACAGCTGAAGATCCTCTGGCTCACACCCGAGGAGAGGAATTCCCAGCATTCAATGGACAGAAGTGTGTTAATCTGCGATTCTTCACCATAGGCAGAAGACAGATGGATTCCTTCACTCTTTCACTTTTCTCTGCGCGTACGATGGGATCAGCTAGCGAGAGGCATGGGTATCCACCGCTAATTAAAGGTGGTGGGTGGGAATTGGAAGGAGCGCTGGACAGATGGACTGCCTTCACCAAGGAGCCAGGGATCTTTGAACTCGGACCACGGAGCATATTTAATTAAATCTCCAATTGTCCCAAAGGCATGAAGATTTTTTATGTGAACACTGACCCCATTGTCTTTCTCAAGTTTCGGTATGAGCTTAGAGGTGTTGGCTTTTCTGAATGTGATGTTTGGAATATTCAAATATTTTTTTATAAAAATCTGACATGCATATAAAACAGGCCTACTGTATGCATCAAATAGTCTTTTAACCCTGGGGTAACATCCTTTAAACCCTGGGTTAAGGACCATTTTAACCCTGGGTAAAGGAATATCCAGACATATTGAAAGCAGGTTAGCATCGCTTTTAAAGGTGCTAACCCGGCATTTGTTAGTCTGGTTGTTTGTTGAGAGAGAGATGAAATGGAGTTGTAATAAAGGATTTAACTATAGCAGCGTAGGACTATTATTCTGTTGCGTGGAACTGAAGAAAGGGGCATTTCATTCCAGCCCACATGTGGAAATCGAACATTCAACTGTTCATCCATTTTCTACCCCTGAATGTAAAAATGAAAAATCAAGGTGAATTCTTGTTTTTTCATTTTTGTTTTTTTTAAAACGTACAATGATAATGGTGCAGTTTTCTCATATCTCTTTTTTCAATGCTAAATAAAAAAAATTAACGAACGCAATGTACACGGACCTTTGGGTTACAAGTGGGTTACAATTCCGTTAGCCATGACTACTCTAATGGTTACAATGGGTACAATGCCTGCATGTTATTGTTCAAACTACTTTTCGATCATTGCCTTCACCAGGTATGAAAACATGAAAACAAAGCCAAACCTGCAATATAGCAATCCTGGTCAGGATGTGTCTGGGAAAAAGAGCACGTATGGTCACCCTAGTTAATTGGAGCAATAAATAGACAGTCCATTATTAAAAAAGTCCCCTATTAAATCAACCTAAGATGATTTGTTGATATAAGATGATCTTAACTGGTTTGAGTTGGTCTCCAGACCTGGCCAAGCTGGTTTAATGCTGTTTATTTAGGTAGCCAGCTTCTTGCCCAGCCTGGCCAGCTGAAAATTGCCCAAAACTCCTCTAAAAGTATAGCAATCAGCTTATTGTTTTTTTAATCCAGAAAAATTAAGGTTCTCAACCAGAAAAGATTTTCATTGCAACATGTGCTTGTCACATGTTGTATTTGTCCACTCAGTGTTTTAAAAACTGTTACGACCCTATAGTTTTGTTTTGATTGGTTCCTGCAGACTCATTGTTGTCGTTCTCTGATTGGTCTTCTCTCCCTTAAAAGAGATGACAGCATTTCTTACCCCATTTGTATGCTTAGAGAGTTTGTTTCGTTATTTGTTGTTTTGTAACGGTACTCTGGCTTACCCGACCCTTGCCTGTTGTACGATTTTGATTTTGGATTATCCCTCTGAACTTGATGTTTCCTTGTAAATATTTATTGTGAATATTGTAAATAGTTATTGGGAAAGTAAGGAGTCAGACGCCATCTTTTGTTTTTGTAACATTTGGATCTCTGTTTTTGGATTAGGTAGTTAGGTTAGAGAATTGTTTTTTGTTTGTTTCTTTATTTTGGATAGGTAATTTAGAGGGTTAAATATTTAGAATGTTTTGTTTATTATTTTGGCACCATTGGCTCCTGAAAGTGGACTCCTAAATAAAAATTCAAAAGTAGTTGATTGTTCACACTCGTTTTTTTTCCCATGTTGTGCTCTACCCCTAGACGGGGCGTAACATGGAAATTGGGGGCTCGTCCTTTCTTGCTAAATTGGTAGCTTGTCCGTTTCGTCCGTTCCGGTGGAAAGTAGTGAGTTGTTTATTTATTCTGTTGTGGTTTCTCTTTGACTGGGATTTTTCTTTTGGTAAGGGAAGAGTTACGGTAATTAGTATGTCATCCAAATTCGAACTAGATAAATTTACAAATCACGCCGACAGTAGAACAATTGGAGAAATGTCGTAAAGATGATTTGTTAGTGATCGCAGATTTCTATGATATAGTTGTACCTTGAAATGCGTTGAAGAGAGAGATTAAGGCGGCACTGCGCACGGAGCTTGAAAAACAGAACATTTTACCTGGTGAGAGTGTGGTTACAGGTGTTGCAATAACTTCGCTATCTGAAGATTTGGAAACTGCGGAGGCAGAATTCAAGTCCCAAGATGCGGCTCGCATAGATCCTGTTGATCCTTCTCTGGTAAAAGACCCCTTACTGGCCATCTGGTTGAAAGAACTGGAAGTGGAGCTAAGCCGAAGCCAATACCAAAGTCAGCTGTTGCATGTCCGAGCGGTGGAGCTTGAGACACAGCGAGACGTGCGGTTGAAAGAGCTGGAGCTTGAATTAAAGTTTGGGCAGGCTAAGCAGTTACAATCTCCAGTGTTACGGGGAAATACTCCTGTGCAGACGCCGGTAATCACTTCTCCTCCTCTCCCTGCAACGTTGCCTGTGTCTACGGTAAGTCCTGACGCTGATGTTGATATTAGTAAACAAATTTCATTAGTCCCTACGTTTAGAGAAAGTGAAGTTGACACGTATTTCACTGTGGTCGAGCGCATTGCAGCCACGTTAAAGTGTCCGAGAAATATTTGGAATTTATTGTTGCAGTGTAAACTTGTTGGGAAGGCGCAAGAGGTATGGTCAGCGTTGACACTTGTACAAAGCATGAATTATGATTCAGTTAAACCGGCTGTATTAAGAGCTGTCACGGGAGGAGCACACGACAAACACAGTGGGTGTGGCGTCAGGCCTCGGAGAGGCTTTTATTAACAAAATAATATAAACAACAAAGTGTCCAGGGAAAAGGTGAATCTAGTGTAGAGCTGTAATCGGGCCTTAAAAGTTAGGCCCGACAGAATTCGGCCCGAGCCCGACAAGTACATTTTGATTGACAGCTTTTTAAAAGCCCGAACCCGTTTACAGCCCGACATTATTCAAATGTGCGCACGCACATAGCTCTTTTGCCTTTTGTCAAGAATGAGTCATTTATCCATGTTTTAACATAATTTATTCATGACTAACGTAGGCTATAGGCCACTTGGAAGTTGGAACAAAGAAAAAAAATAAGACCTCTGTAACATCGTAACATCTAAGCACTCTAAATAGGCCTAGGCATACACTTAGCCTATAAATAGGCCAACGCGACAATAAAAATGAGTCTTTCTTAACAAATTAAATTAAGATAAATTCTAAATTAAGATGGGTATTTGGCAATAACGAAATTAAGATAAAGGCTCCGCGAGATTTTGAAATTTAATAAAAGAATAATGGCAACATTAGCCTATATACTCTGTCTACATTATGCATTTAAGACTCAATTAAGATAGTTATAATTTGAAAAACCTTTACTCACCAAGATTAGGCTACATGTTTTTGTCGAGGAAAATGATTGAATCCACTGTAGATGGCTTCAGCGCGGTCCAGCGCTCACTGATGGTGCGTCCAGCAGCACTGAACACCCTTTCACTGCTGCTGCTGCTACTGGCCAGGATGCATAGTACTGATCTGGCTAATTTTGCAAGTTTTGGGTAGGATGGTTTGTTGATCTTCCACCAGCCAAGAACATCCATTTAATTTTCCATGACAGCCGTTTCAATGTAGCGAGTGACCTCGTCATCTTTCCAGTCAGCTTGCTGTACATTTTCCTCCTCAGCATCCATTTTCGCATCTTTCTCGCGCTAATCGAAACGCATCACATGACCGCTCATTTACCGCGCAAGCCCGAGCCCGTGTAAAATTATATAAATTAAGCCCGAACCCGACCGAACCCGTCGGGTCAAAGATCTTCAGCTCTAATCTAGTGTCCAAAATAAAACAGGGGATCTGGTGTCCTCGTCGTGCTGCGGGCTTCGTGCAGGGAAGGGCAGTGATCAGGAAGGAAGGGTCCAGGTAAGGGGCGGAGTCCGGCGGCTGCACGCGCTCCCCTCTCCAGTCCGGGATGCGAGGGGCAGCGGCTTCTTCCAGCGGCTGCATCCTTCTCGCCTTGGCCCCGGCGGGTGAAGGGTCTAGATGGCCCGGCATCCTGGCCCGATGGCCGTGTAACAGGTGCGGCTCTCGTCCGGACCGCGGGTCCGGTAGCTCGCATCTTCGGCGGCACGGAGATCCCTCTAATGCACCCTTCCTGGACCCACAAGGACACCAGCGTGCATGCACGGGGAAGAGACCGGTCTCCCGAGGAGAGGCGCGCTCGGCATTTAAACAGCGGCGGTGATGAGGCTCCATT